GCCCGACCGTACCCCAGCAGAGCACGGGGAGGGCGGGAGGATCCTGCCGGGAGGTGCCTCGGTGGGAAGGGGACCGGGCTCTGCCTCCAAAACCGGCGCCGCCGGGGAGCCATCTTCGCAGGTACTTGCAGGGTCGGCAGCGGGAGAGGTCGGTTACGGAGATGTTTGTGCTGAATAACTGTTGGGTGAATTTCCCGCAAATAAAGAGAAGCTTCGTGTTCGTGCTGCGTACTGAAAAATCGTGCTGCCTTCCAGCACTGCGTTGGCATCGGAAATATCGGAGTTTAATAGTTGGCGTGCGCTTCTGATAGTTGGTGTGTCGAGTATAGGACAAGATAAAGTAAATAGTTAACTGAGCTTAAAATACCTAGAATCCCTTCTTCCTTACTCCCGATACAGCCGCGGGTCTCTGAGCTCAAAAGTGTTGCATAATAATGTAGAATTTTAAAAAAAAAATTCTAAATGTTGCTATTTAAATTGGCAGCGTCTGTGTATGAGGGAAGACAATTTTAAATTCACGAGAATTTAAAGAGCTAAAAGTTAAAGTAAAAAAGCCCTTAAAGTTAAAAGAACATCATTAAAAAGAAGCTATTGTAATGACCAGTATTAAAATCATCCGTTATAACAAATTAATCATGACAGGGTAGGCTTTTTGGTCGATGGGTCATATTTTCCTTGGTGACTTGTAACAATGGATTTAGTGCCCAGTTCAGCACAACCTGAAAGTTTGTAGGAACATCTAAGGGATTAAAACCCTTCAGCCCGGCTTCCCTGTCCTTTTAAGGCAGCGTTGCAGAGGTGGTACCACCGCAGCGCATCCTGTTGCAATGCTGCGTCTGTTCCTCTGTTAACATCCACTTCAGTGTTTGTTGGCCCCGGGTGTTAGCGATGGAACTGCGGTGGGGATGGGGCTTGGCCTGAAATCCCTGCCAGTACTAAACTTGCTCAGTTTTGCATGTTAAAAAGACAGATTTTTGCAAGTGAATTTGGGATCTGAAAACCAGACTCTGTTACAAAGGTTTTTTGTTTTTTTGGATAAATCATGAGGGGTCAGAAGGTGGAACTATGTCACTCTTACCTATTTTAACTCAATACAACAAGAAAGGAGGAGAAGCTTTTTTCTTAGGAAGAGTTTGTGATGCATCTAGATGTCAGTTTTTTAACTCTGCTTACTTACCAGATCTGTGCAGAAATCCTGGTTTCTTGAACAATGGAGGGGGTTTCAGTGCTCAGCCCCAGAAGCTCTGGGTAGCTCTCCTTCCAGGTAGCATTGTTAGCACCTGCAGAAGCCACATTTGACGCTTTTCCTTGTCTGTGGGGCCCAGTTTCTTGTGCTTACCTTGATGCCAGTTTTTGCTTAAGGCATTCCACATCTAAAGGTTTCATTGTATTGATGTCACTTTGCACAGCATAGATCCCAAAATACCATTCAGGTGCCTGCAGTTATTAGCCAGGGACTCTGCGTAGCCAAGTAGTGTTTTGTGTGACTGCAGAGTTGCTATCTCTTAAGTTGTATATGGCCAAACTGTTGCAAGACATTGGTGAACATTGCCCTGTTACACAGCAAAGAGGTGCACAGGGTATGCTTGGCAGTGCAGTAGCTCCCTGGGATCACTGTGAATGGAAATAAATGTTGGCCTTCTTAGGACATGTGCAAAATTTGTCTCTGGTTCAGTTCACTCGGTAGCAGGCATGTGGTAGCTGCTGTCTTTTCAGGCACCGCACGCATAAACTTGCTGTGAGCAGCTGGATGTCTGCAGTATCTTGCTAGGATAAGTGGAAAGCTGTGGTGTGGTTTAAAAAAACAAATCTAGCACATATCCCAGAGTGGAATTTAAAGGAAGATGTTCCATTTTTATTGAGGGCATTGATGGAAAGTTGCAAAGCCTCTGAAGACCCATGACTTACCAGGATGCTCTGATTCTGTGTCAGCCTAAACTCATTCTTAAAACGCCCCCTCCCCCAGCCCTGACTTTCCCATATTTTTCATATTTTGAGATTAACTCCTTATATTTGTGTTTAGAATGTAACAAGGTTGTAGTTTCTGTTACCCTCAAATGTGGAGGTGTGGAGGTTCTTTATCCATTCAAGAATGAAATCTCAGATTATCCTGTAGCCATGCGTCTTCAGGCTGCTGGGATTTACAAAGTGCTGTGACATTCCTGATGAACTGAGAAGATGCCGGGATGATGCAAAGGATTTACAGGTCTCCTAATAACTTTGTAAAAATTTATTTTACTTTTTAGACCACAATGAATGTGGAACATGAAATTAACCTCTTGGTTGAGGAGATTCGGCGGCTGGGAACCAAAAGTAGGTATTGTAATATCTCTCTGACTGTACAGATAGAGTCATGTTATACATCCATGTGTGCATGTGACATACATGTCATACAGATGTAGTCATGTTATATCAACGTATAAACTTGGCAAATTTAATTAAGCAGGCTCAGGTAACCTGAAAACTTGCACATATACTTAATGTTGGACTGTATGGTGCTCACTGTGTCCCATCCTTTAAAGTAGTTCTGTTAGGAAGTTGTATGTTTAAACCTCTGCAGCACAGAGGATGTATGTCTGAAATCCTGCTCCCACTAAAATCAACTGCAAAATTACCCTTTTCTTTAAACTTCCAATACTCACTACAGCCATCAAAGAAGAAAGTTGCACCTTCTCCTTCCTCCTCCTTCCTTGATAACTTTTGAATTTCAGAATTCATACACTGCAATTCTGTTTATCACAGAATTATTTGTAAGGAATTGATCTGTATGCCTAAAACTAATCCAGGAGTTATAGGTGTGCTCCCAACCCTCCTTAAACTTGCTTAGAAGGTAGCCTTTTTTCTTAAAGTTGTTTTTCATTGTTAAAACTCCACTTGCTTCACAGATATTTATGCTATTTGTGGGTGTGCTACCTGCTCATATGTTTCAGTTCTGATGCAGTTTTGTTCAGTTCCATCTGTTTTTCAAAGCCTAAATGAATATGTACGTCTTGCATTTTGTATGGCTGCATCTGCCTTTTAGGAATAACCTAGCTAACCTCAACATGTGTTTTCAAATTCTTGCTTTGTGTGAGAAATGAATTCGCATTGCACCTTTTTCAATGCTGTTAGTATTAACTTAAATATTAATAAGTGGAAAAAAAATATTTAAAACTAATTTCCTCCTCATGCTTTGAAGAGGCTCAATAGCCTGTGCTCGTCATAGGCTTCAGAGAGTCATCAGTGAAAATAAACATAGCAGATATGTGGTACTTGATATGAGTCTCTGGAAAAAAGAGGAAGTCGTACGAGGCAGGAGTTTTGCCTACTGTTTATCGTCAGCATTCATAATATGTTCCCCAATAAACTGAGAAACACCATGGGGTTTCCTTTCAACGTTCTGACTCTGTGTCACTTTGTTTCCCTAGTAATCTTGTAACTTAAAAAAAAATCTACATGTGTTTTCATGTTCTGTCTTTGATTTAGATGCTGATGGACAAGTGAGTGTGAAATTTGGTGTGCTCTTTGCTGATGACAAGTGTGCCAACCTCTTTGAAGCCCTCGTGGGAACTCTGAAGGCTGCAAAACGACGGAAGATTGTCACTTATCAAGGGGAGCTACTTTTACAAGGTGTTCATGACAATGTTGATATCATGCTACTGCAGGACTGATGCAGTGTTTCAGCTATGCATTAATAGAATTGTTTGAGACAATGACTTGCAGCATCCTCCGAATACAGCTGATCATTCTAAGCTGTTTTGTTGTATTTTCTATATCTTTATAGTCAAAAGGAGACGTTCCTATTTTGGAAAACATTCCCTTTTGTAATTCTTCCTGAAATGGTACTGTATGTGAGTAAGGTAAAAGATGCCAGATCTCTCTCTCTTTTTTTCTTTTTCTTTTAAATCTCAGGTAATGCTCTCAAATGTCTGGTGGTTATTTTCAACATATGAAGGAGGAGACTGGTAATTTAATGTTTACAAATCAAAATGTGCCATGAAAGTATGAAATAAAAGCACATACTTAAATTTTATATAATTCTTATTGCTGTTGTTCCTCTTTTTATTTGCAGTCTGAAATGAAAGCAAACTTAGTTTCTCTAAGGAACATAGTTAAGTTGCTGTACAGAAAGCATACCAGCGAGAAAGAAATAATTTTGCAGGATGGTTCGAATGAAGAATGGCCATCCTTTGGAGGGACCAGATTGTGCACAAAAAGCCACAAATGATAGATGTACCTAATTTGTCTCTGGTAGTATAATATGCTTTAAATTTTTGTCCTCGAGACTTTTGAAGGAAGTGGGCGAGGAGCTCCCTGGATGCATTGATGCAGTGTTAACCAGAAGATGGTACAGCAGCTTCAAGTTGTGATATTTTCCTCACAGAAATCATATTTTCTCTAAATCACTCCAGGCAAAAAGTGGGAGGAGAGGGGAAGAAAACCCTTTTGATTGTTTTCTAGCTTACTGCTAATATTTCTTAGCTGGCAAAAATGCTTCCTCCAGTAGGGAGAGAGATGCTACATGGGGAAAGCAGCAGTGGGTAAGCAAACTGCTTCCTGCTCTGTGCTTCCACTCTGCAGCTGCAGCTCTTAAAGTTGCAGGATGGGTGAATTTCCCTTTACTTAGCAGCCTTCTACAAGTGCAAAATGCTTGAGAAGTGTTTCCTTATTTCCAGATACAGGAAATACACGCATGGTTATGGAATCTCTACAAAGCTGTGTAATTCCAGCTGCTGCTCCTTTCATCTTTGTTTGCTCTGCTTTGCGTAACAGGAAAACAACTTAAATCCTGTGTGCAAGCAGATCTGGGCCGCCTCTGCCTCTGCTGGCCTCAGAATCCGGAGAGCAGGGAAGTGATACACAGAGAAACTTGAGCTGTCTGGGTCCAAGCCAGCTGGAGCAGCAAAGCAGAGCCGGAGCTCAGGACAGTTTACTGGCTCCAGTGCCCTGTCACTCCAGTGCAGCTATTCTGCTTCCAGACCTGAGCTGACAAGTGCCTGCACCCCACAGAGGTAAAGAAGGGGGACTGAGTCCAAGCCTTCTGCGTTAGAGGTGAGACCAGACAGCTCTGCATTACCAGATAACCATAGTTGTTTTTACCTCTGCCCCTATTCTGTTGAAAGCCTGAGTCATTGTCTGGCTTCATGGGCTAGCCTGAGCGTGCTGACCGATACCGAGCGCTTTGTGATGGTCCGAGGTGCTGGTTGTGGTACGGGAGGGCACCAGTCTGCCTCAGCCAGGGTATAGTTCTGTGTTCATGTTCATGATAGCTCTTTAAGTATTGAAGGGGCCTCAGTCTTGAAAAATTAAGTACCAGTATATTTAAGACTTGGTGCTGGGTTGGAGCTGAGATGGGGTTATGAAGAGACCTTTATGTCTCATTTTGGATTTGTTCTCTTAACAATGCTAATAAATGTACTCAGGGCTTCTGGGAACACCGTGTAGCAAGAGACAAGAGAAATTTGGCACTAAACCAAATTTGTAGCAACCAGAGAAGAGTTTGATTGTGTACTGCCTGGGGGAGTTGAGATTCATTTTCCCTTTGTTTCTGAGAGCAGAAGAGGAACAATGTGAGCAAGGATGTATATACAAGAACTTGCCCTCAATGCAACACTTTATATGTCTGTTGGCCCCAGAATTGTGCAGGCTTCTGCACTTCAGGTTATATACAAGCACTGATGACTTCGTTTCTAAGGGTTGGGGTTTTTTGTTGTTTTTGGTTTTTTTTCAGAGAAAATCAAATACTAACATTGCTTAATATGTGTGGGACCACACCTCTGTGAAGGAAATAATTGCCACAGCCTGAACACAAGATGTAGTTCCTGGAGCACTTGACATAATAATAGAAAAGCTAACCATGGGGAAAGCATTACCTATTTTTTGTAAACAGTAGGACAATCAGCAGTCCCCTGTGATAGGTTCATGACCTTGCCAGCTATGGGTCTGAAGGAAGTTTGTAGGTTAGCCAGGAGCACTGGTGATTCCAAATTAGCAAGCCATTCTCCTGACTGCTGGGAAGTAGGAAGATACAGAGATCTTTGACAACAGCGTGAAAGAGCTTTCACCTGTTTGTGATAGTGCTGGGAAATTAGTGAAAGAGTAGCCTAGCTAATTCAGTCTCCATCTATGTAAGGTCCAAGAGCATGGTGGAACCTCAAAGAGAGGTTAGATGAGCTCCAGGCAAATCCAAGTGTTAAAATTGAAGATATTACCACTGTATGTCTTCAGCAGGGACTGTTAGAGTAACTGATGGAGTGGAGCATATGCATTCATCTCACCTTGGCTGTTTCCATGCAAAATCCAGTGACTGGAGATAAACGTGCTTTTCAAAGCAGTTTTGGCTAAGCTGTGAAGGTGCTGAGACATAGGTTTGCGCAACCTCTGGCGAGGAATATTAGCATCTTAAACTTTGCAGCTATTTCTCTTGTGAGTGTAGGTTTTTGCTGGGAACTTGAGCAAAGGAAGAGTTGAATTGTATGCGATATTATCTTTTCCATGCCCCTCTCATGTTGGAATTAATTTTGAAAATGCATATTGTGTTTTGCTTATTTCTCATCTCCCCTCCAAAGCTTTGCTGGAGGTATTCTTTCCTCTTCAAGGGATTTCTCTCAGTGACAGCAATGTCACTTTTGCCGTTCATATCTGTGTAAAGTTGGTTATCTTTACTGAGTTTCTTTGTCACAAAAAACACTTGAAGGAAAGAACAAGAGTAAGAGGAGCAGGAAGTTCTTACATGCCGAAAACTCATTATATTGCCACTGATGGTTTGCAGTTTTATTTAAAAATAGTTGGATTTTTTGGAAATAGACTGAGATTCTCTTCTACTCCAGCAGCACAAAGTGACTATTAAGCATGTTTAAACAGTTGCAGAGCCTGTGCTAAGATGATGCAGCATGAAGAAGTGAATGCCACAGCACTGGCCTTACAGCTCCATATCAAAACACTACCCATTAGTGATGTCTTTGTATCACCTACACCTACTATGAAAGAACAGTCCTAAAGGTTTGGTCTACACCCTGCAGTGTAATCCATGTTTAGTATTTCCTGAAAATCCTCTGTCTGGTAATTGTATAATGGGAATCATGGTTTCAAGGACTTAAAAAAGAAAAAAACAACCCAACGTGTTTTTCTTTTGGAAGCTGGCAAAGTCAATAATGTCGTAAAGTTCATGTCCCTATTCATGTCCCTCTCAAGCAAATATGGGATGTTTGGTCTGTAATGGATCTTTTTTTCTGATGTGTAAGAAAGCGATTCATGCCAAAGCCAGCTATGAAGGGTAGAACTAAATATAAACAAAGCAATTGGAAGGAAAATTAACCCCTAGACCAAAAAAATTGTTTCAGTGCTCTGACAGCTGTTTGGAACAAGAGATCTGGCTAGTTTGACCCAGTGACATATTTAAGCCTGAGTACCTTTCAGGACAAAAGTCAGTATGACCTATCTTTTGTTATGCAACCCCGAAGATGATAATATATACCAAAATACTCTTGGGGTTTTGTTCTGCTTCCCTACAGACCAGTCAATTTTTGCTTTGGAAACTGTCCCTTAAGCTTATGAAAAAAACCCAAATTGTCCTCTTTGGAGTATTTATTATGTACCAGAGAAAAAGACAAGGACAAAAGAGCTGCTTAGTGCTTTTCAATACATGTAGACAGGATCCAAGTCAAGACTGTTAATCTTGCAGATGATGCTAACAAAACAACGGTCTGCCTTTGCTCAAAGGTCCAGCATCCGTACCACCTTAGATCTCCTAAGGATTTGATTTTCAAGGCAAAATATCTTCAGCATTTTGATCTGAAATGGCATTCTCAAAGAAAATCAGTAGCAGGTTGAAGAGTTGCTCCGGTGCAATAACTTCAAGGAATCTATATGGTCAGTATTTCTAGGTACTCCTTTTTTAAAAAAACGAAGCTGCATGGATTAGTTAAGGATAAGTGGTTAACAGTGTTTCTAGAAAGCTGGTGTATTTAAGATCTAGTTACATAAACTGCTTAATGTGGAATTGTTCTAATAAATTTTTTCTGAGGGTGGCAGTTCAGTGTAGTTCTGCCACTCTGAATACAGCTTTAGCCACAAATGCACTGTAGATGAATATCTGAGCAGCTGAAGCTACTCTCCTGGCAGATATAATGCACCAGAAGAAGCATTATCTTGTAGTGTTGCCTAGATGTCATCGCACATTATGCTTATCTCTGCCAGAGCACCTGAGCGACTCGGGGAGGTTAAATACCAGGCTGGTACCTGAGGAGGGAGTAGTGTGATCTACAAACATGCTCCAGAGTCTTGTCAGATCAGATCCAGATCAAATCTCCTTTCAGAGAAATGCTTAGAGTCAGACCTCAGCATTTTCCAGTACAGCATTTTCACAAATATAGCAGCATTATGTCTATGACTCGGAGCTTACTCCTGCACAACCACTGCAAGCTGAATGACACTGTGAGTCTTAAGGCCACCTTACCATGCTTAAAGCTATTCTCCAGAGAGGACAGTAGTATGTACCATGTATTTGTATGAAGTGTATTATGCAAACATATTGGTACAACATGTGCTCAAAACCTGACTAATTTTTCCCAGTGGGAAAACACTCGGTAAATGACAATTATGTTTGAATGGGAAATGCATTTTCTGGTTTTTGCTAAGTCTGCTAAATGCCACAGAAGATCATATTACAATAATTGAGAGTTTATATCTTGCAGAATTGGGTCTTTTGTGAAGCTTTGGTGATAGAAGATTTCTTATTGCCAGGTCTTTATTAGTCAAGAGGCCTTTGTCTCTGAAGCTAAAAAGCTTCCTTTATAAAGTTGTATTTTGGAGTACAGTATGATTTTCTTGGAAATCAGCTTTCAGTTTTCATAGAAAAAAAAA